TGGGGATTCCGTTCCCGGGCTGGGAAAAAAACTTCCACTTGTGGGGGAGAAAAAAAAAGGGAAGGGGGGGGGGGGGGGGGGGCAACCTTAACGCTCGGACCGTTGACAACGCGTTCCTCGAGAGGTCGTGGGCAAAGGGGCTGGGTGGAAAACAATCGCGCAGGGACACATACCGCGCGAAAGGCCAACCGCAAGGATGTGGTACAGAAGTAGGATTGTGACATCTACAAGAGTAGAGGATAAAATGAAGGCGTTTCAAGTGGCAAATACGGGGGGGGCGGTGGCGGCGGGTGGTACTTCGATAGATAGACAATCGTTACCCTGTTAACTTCCGCACGAGAGGCCATAGGAGACACGCCACTGCCGCGACTGGTGTGGTGGTCTTTGGGGGGCGGGCAAGAGCACGAGGGAAAAAAATCCCAGCGCGCTCGGCCTTCCGCCCTGGCCTCTAGGGCAGGTTCTTCGCACACCCAAAAGAGGTTAAAAACTGGGGGGGAGTGTGTGGTGAGTGAAGGGCTTTCGTCGCTTATCCAATCCGCGCCCGCCAGAGGGCAAACAAACACTAAAGAAAACACAAAAGGACGACCGGAGGGCTCTCCGTACACGCCAACCAGGAACCACCTGGTAAGCGAAGCAAAGCCGGAACCAGCCTGGCTCGACACAGTGGAACGCCCCGCCGGGAGTGAGGTTGACCTTGGTGCGCTCCAGCATCTGGCGCCACAGCCTTTCCTCCGCCTCCTGGGAGCAAAGGATATATGCAGGCCGATCATGACAAAACTCGTAAGGGGTCGACATACGGGTAGGGATGGGGAACGACTGCCACACCACCTTGTGGTTCAGCCGCCGCCTGCACTATTGCTTACCGCGTACGCGAGGCAGGCGAAGACGAGCCCCTCTTCGAAGCAGTGCCCCTCAAAGAAAAACAAGCAATGAGTAAGAGGCATTGCGCACGCGCCCTGAGCCCTCCAGCCATCGAAAACGCGCCAGAAACTGCGAAACGAATAGACCGGCTACACATCGCACTCGGACGTCGAAACCCACCTTGGAGGGAACTTCCAGGTACTCTCTGAGGTCCAGCATGACGAACAGTCCCGCCTCCGCCTGCTGGTACATGATACCCTTTCTCCCGAGCTGGTTCACGAGGGACATGTAGGCCAGCCTTAGGCCCTCCTGTGACGCACGCACGAAGAGGGAAGAGGAGCACGCAGGCGCGAGAACACTTTGCCTGTCGTGTGCAAACTGCTTGGGATAAGCGCGACCACACGGGCGAGAAACTTGTATATTGTTCGTTGGGGGAGACTACTCGCGGCGGCAGGAGCACCTCAGGGCCAAGCGTTACCGCCAAGTTGTGCTCGTGTTTGCGATGAATGACCTCGGTCAACGGCCAGAGCTCCGTGCCCTCATGAACGCTGTCGCAAGCGGGGATACACAAGACACGTGCGCGCTTGGATGACGCGTATATATCCTGGGGACGACACACGCTCACACACCCAACGGCTTACGAGAGATCGACCGCAGTGTTATTTCCATGCCGTCACCGATCGGCAGTTGGCCCGCGAGGCGAACGATCGGCCTAATGGCGCTTGGGGACGGCAAGCCTAGCACCAGGGCCGCAGGAATAGTCTATCTACGGCTACAAGCATGGTTGGTGCTCTCCTAACCCTTCCCCCCAGCTTCCCACCTGCTTGTTGCTGCTTTGAGACAAGAGCCGTCGCGGAGAACGGCGCGTCGTTTGGTTCTATAGTGCCACACTACCGTAGGTGGCATAAGAACATCACACACCCTAGACCGATCTTCAAAGCTCGGCTACTCCACAGCGACAAAGGATGATGGCGTCGAAAAAACAAACGGCGTCGTTAGGACCCGCTCGTCGAGAGCTTTCCAAAACCGTATCGATTGTTTTATAACTCTTTTTCGTCGGGGAGTTCTCGAGCTTTGAAAAATTGGTGCACGGAGTGTATCAGACGTCACCTACGGTGGCTCTGGTATGCGTGACAAAACACTAGCTCTCCAGAGAGCATGATATCTTTTGCCACAGCCTTGGCCGGCTTGCCTGGTGCTGTGTGAAGTAGTCGTCCAGGAAGCTTGGTTCTCGGAACAGGCGACCGACGAGGTCCATCGTGTCCGAAGACGCTTGGGAGGCGTGGGCCATCTTTGACACCATCGCAACCACCTCCTTGTTCTCGCTGTACAGTACGCCCACCTGTAGTAGTTTGGTGCAAATCGTCGCCGCCATGGATGTCGTCAGCAGCGACAGCACCAGCGGCACCAGCGGCACCACCAGGAGCAGGAGCAGAAGCAGCAGCGAACCATGAAATCATACAAAATCAGGAGCGGCTTCTGCACCATCGTCATCAATATCAGCACCACAACCCAGCAGCAGCACCATCAGCACCAGAAGCAACCACGAGCACATTCTTTTCTCATCGTTTCTCGACAGACTGTCTCGCACGGAATCGTGCCTCACCAAACCAAAGTTCTGCAAGGCCAGATACCCTCAGCGCCCCAAAGCAAGCAGACAGCGTCTGCGGGAAAAAACGTCGACGCGAGGGTACAGCGAACACCCCCTGACCACTGAATCACTCCTATGCACGCACTCACACACCGCTCCATGGCAGAGACGAAAATAAGAACGCACTAAAACGCGCAACGAGCGAGAACGAGGGCGAACGCACCACGTCCAACGACAAGAGAAAGAACGCACGATACAGCGAGGAAACGAGCCCGTTCAAACTGAAGCACCCGACCCCACCAGGCGGCGAGCCCCGCGAAATATATAGTTTTGCGAAATGACAGCTTATTCGCAGTTCTGCCTTCACAGTGCACGTCATGGCAACGGCTACTAGCCGGTAAACACGTTTGATGTCGGAAGACAGAAACCATGAACATTCACAAAGAAGGACGCACAACTGTTTTTTCGTTTCCTTGTCCGGCGAAAGACTGACATTTTGTCAGTGGCCGGGCCGGTCAACGCGGCCGACTCCAAAAAATCACGCGCACTAGCATTTGGTTTTTCGCTGAGGTAGAACCGATGCTATTTTGGTATTTCACCAAATAGCCCGGGTTGATGCAGACTAAAGACTAACACAAGAAAAACCACGCACACGCGCAGAATCCTACATCACCAGAACCCACCCTCCAGCCGGCAACCCCGAGGTCCTTGGACAGCCCGTAGAGAACGTGCACGTCGCCGCCCATGCCCGCAGCTCCATCGGCCATGAGAAGGCCCCCCACGCTCCGGAACGACGCGTTTGGCCTATGGATGCAGTTGGCGTACACCTGGTGGGAAAACGAAAACACCGAGATGGAAGACAGAAGGAGACGACGAGGGGGGCGAGGCGGCCATCGAAACGCTGCACGCGGCGTGGCCGCGGTGTTTTCCAACAAGGTTCTGGTGAGAGGCGGACTCTACGTACCTCCTGGTATTTTCATCTGAGTCTCATCTAAAAACTGCATCCAGGGGCATCAACAACGACATCAACACCAACACCGCCAAAAGGCGACAACGACGACATCAACACACAAAGTCGACTGGTTGAACACCGCCAAAGGGCGACTGGTTGAACACCACCAAAAGGCGACTGGTTGACCGCCTTCGGTCATCACCACCCACCAAAAGGAAGCCGTCTGTCTCACCTCGTCGACAACGATTTGGAGGCCTCGCCGGCGCCCCCACGAGACCGCCGAAAGCAGGGCCTTGGGCGAGTACATTCGCCCGGTGGGGTTGTGCGGGGACGTGATGAGAAGCACTCGAATCTCTACGCCTGACGATCTCGCCCGGCTGATGGTGAACGCGAGCAGCAGAAGCAGCGGCGGCGGCAGACGAAAGAAACACGTTATAGGCACACGTCGACCAGAGTAGAACGGCAGAACACTCAGCAGCAGAGGACTGCCGACCGGGGCATTATAACGTGGGAATTACCTGGCGTGTGAAAAACCAGTAGGCGGTTGCAATGTCACAGCTAAGTCTCCACAGCAGGGAATGCGTCCATGCGCACAGAGCAGCGGGGAGGGCAAGGCTACATACAGTACGGCCAAGGACTTGAAGCATACGGTCTCCTCTGACTCGCTGTCCGGGCGAGTTGGCCGGCGCAATCCTCGACAAGCGCAAAATGTCCCCACACAAAAGCCACGGCAATGAGTGCTGCAACTCATGTCAGAGGTGTGAGGGGGTGACAAGGTGCTTGGTAGACCGAAACGGGCACAGCATTCAATGTGCCGGCAGCGGCAGGTGCGTCGGGATGGCGGCGAAAGTGTGTCCACCGACAAAATGTCGCGAAACCAAGGAAGCAGCTGGTAGCGCCAAAGAACACAGGCGATGGGGACGGCAAACCTTACAGAGAACCCCACCACTTTGGTGCGCGAAAACATATACATCGGCAGGGACGCGGCAAATCGTTTGAAGCCTGCAGAGCACCAGCACGACCACCGGTACCACCAACTCCACTCTCGATCGTGTCAAACGGGTCTGGAGCCTCACCGAAGGGCTGTCTCCAGCACGCGGGGGAATATCCCATCGTCCACCCCACCCTCCACACCCCCTCCCCCTTCAGCCGGATCCCTGTTCGCTACCCACGCCCTCACGCCGGCGATGTTGAGCACCTTGTCGAAGCCAGGAAAGTACGGCCCGGGGATGAGACAGCCCTCGCCCTCCTCGGTGAGGGCCACCACGAGCAACCTGTGTAAATAATAGTAGGATTTCGTGTTGCAAACACAAACGATGAACGTGTTGGCACATGCAATCAGCAGCAGTAGTTTACGCAACAAGGCGAGTGCGTGGGGGGTGTGCATATCGTGCACCAGGAAATGGACGAAGGGGGTTAGTCAACACGCGAGGGTCGGTGACACGAAACCAACTCGTGATCAGCCCTAATTTCCCCAAAATTCAATTTGTTCTGCGTCACCACCCCCGGACGTCCGTTTGCCCCCCCCGCTCCCTTCGCCCCCCTCCCCCCCCCCTCTTTCCAATATCTTCCGGTATGTTCACTTCTGCCCGTTTCCTGCCAACATACATAGCCTGCTCACTCGTCTCTCCGTCACGTTGCTCGCCCTAAAAAAAACTTTCTCCGCGTGCTTGTAGTACCCAGGATCATACACACGCCCTACACCGCATTGCCTTCTCCCCGCTCCCCTGCTCACCTCAAGACGGAGGTTGCTCCTGCAGCGATAACCACGTTGTCCGGGTCCACATCGTCCCGGTGGAACATGCGCCGCCCCATCATCTCCGCAATCTCCCGCCTTACCCACAGCGGGCCCCTCACTTCCCCGTAGCCCATGGAGGCGAGTCGGTGACTAGAGGGTGCCACTGCCGTCGACGTCGACGATATCGTCGAGTGCGCGGGCTCTCCCATCACCACGGGGCTGGCCACCACCGCTCCTGCTGTGCTGATGTCGGCCGGCGAGATGTCTACCGGCCGCGCCGGCGGGGTCGTGGCCGTGGCCACGGCACCCAAGGCGGCGCCTTCTCCCGCGGAGTCGACGTCCGAGCTGTCGCCGGCCACGTTGAGGCCCCTGTTGTTGTCGCTCGTGATGGCGGTGGTGATGGAAGCGCGGCGTCGCCTTGGCGGCTCTCCGACTCCTCGAAACTGCGCTGCCGTGACCGAGAACTCGCGGAGCTTGTCCAGCAGAGGGCCAACCTTGTGTTGTTGGTGTTTGCGCGCATTCAGGGGCGAGGGGCGGCGAGAAATGTATAAAACTAGAGTGACACCAAGCGCAGCCGGGGAGCGAGCAGATGTGCGGAAACCAACTCAACCTTCGCCTGCAGCCTTTTCCAGCTCTGGTCTGTTCATATGTCCATGCTGCAACCTACCTGGTAAGGCGTAGTGCCATCTGCAACAACAGCGCATCGCTGGACGCAACAAATTGCGGCCACAAAACACAGACGATTATCCCATATGCATCACACCGTCAGTTTGTTCTCGGCGATGGAGAGGCAAATATAGTCCGGGTCGCCTAATCTTGCGATGTGTTCGAGGATGTGCGCCGGCGTTCCTCCGCGAGTGAGCTCGGCAGACCGCTTCGACGACCGCCACCGCGCGCCCGAGAGATGCCTCCTCCTCTCGATAACGCCGATGCGGTAGGCCAACACCGCCACGAGGCTCGTCAGGCCGGCACCGAGGGCGAGGCTGGAGGACGACGCCGACTGTAGAGTATTGTTCACCCTCATCTTTGAAACGGCCGCGGCTCTTCGTCAAAGGGGCTGGTGTGGCGACGAAACCTTCCAGCAGTATAGTCTTCACTCCGGTGATGGAGGCGCCCTCGCCCTGGTTCCGTGCTACTGCTGTCGTAGACCAGCTTGTTCTGCTGCCGCATTCGAATCCCCTCTAATGAATTCCCCGCACCAGCCCTTTGTTGGCGTGCTGTCCTGCTCCCTCGAGGCTGTTTCGCTCCCTCCCTCTGTCTCGTTTTCCCGCTGACGCCAACCAACTGCTGCTGCAAACTGCTGCAAACTGCGAACAGAAACCCGCCGCAGTCGGCGGGACTGTCAGAAGTTGCTTTGCAAGACGGCAACGCGGCGATTTTCATCATCAGCGGCCTGAGGTATCTACCGCTCGCTGAGACGCTGACGCACCCTGTGCCAGCCTCTCTGCCTCGCCATCGCCGATGCGGCTGCGCGACATGTCACCAGGCTCTGCCACAGTGTGGTACGCGTTTCTCGTGAATGCCAGCATGATGAGGCGATCAGTGCTTGCCTCAACCACGGGTCGCCTGCAACCCGCGGCGTTCATCGGTACGATCGTGACGACCACAAGCAGGGCCGGTAGAGGAAGCCTCGCGTCGGACGGCCCGGCTAGCGGTGGGCGAAGAGCGACAACACGGGAGGTGTTCATGGGTTTCCGCTCTCCCTGGTTCTCCTCGTCGAGGTCCACCGACAGCAGCGGGGTACAGAGACTCCAACCGTGGTGGCAGCGACATCACCATCGTCACCGCAACGAGTTTGCCACGAAGTCGCGGTTCGCGGCAACGCCGACCGCAGCAGCAGCAGCAGCAACAGGAGCCGAAAGAGAGAGCGGGATCCCTCTACCTACAGCGGCGGGCGGTGGTGCTGTTGTCAAAGGTGACAGCGGCAGCGGCAGGAGCGACAAGTCGGCCACGCCAGCAGCAGCGATGAAGGTGACGCTTCTATCAGGGTTCCTAGGGGCTGGCAAGACGACGCTAATGAGCAACGTGCTGCGGCAGGCGAGGGAGGAGAAGCTATCGCTCGCTGTGATCGTCAACGATATGGTAAGGGAGGAACGGGGAGCCAAGTTACGTGCGCATCGAAGCATGTGTTTCGAACCCGATGAGTGACCGGGATCGCAAAGATGCTCTCCCTACATACGTCGGCGGCAAAGGCTGGCGTTGACGAAATGTGGACCTGCCGCGAGTTGAAGTACGTTGATGACGAGACCACCTCACAGATGATTACTCAAGTTGCTCTCGCTTCTCCACACCGCCTTGGCTCCGGTTCGTCAAGGTCCGTTGTGTCAAAGCCTGGCATGCCATCCTGCCCACGCTTCGCACATACTCCTTTCATTACGTCACACCCGCTGGCGAACATGCCCAAACGCCTCTTTTCGAGCTGGTTCCCTCTCCCATCTTCACATTGTGATACATAAATACTTGTGCGCATGAACTCGCATGACCTCTATACCTTGAAGAATGGAGCTAGAATCAGGCGTTGGGACATTGTCCTATCCATGAGAACGTTCCCTAGTTTCCCGAGAACCGGTGGCATTGTTCCTTGTCGGGCAAAGCACTCGCTCGACTCTCAGTGCACGACGTTCAGCCGGTTCGACTCTTCCTCACCGTATGAATAGTAATGCACAAGCGCAAACAAGAGGCGCCCACAACCAAAGGATCACATACTCATCAAGAACCTGGTCGTCCGCCTTGCGGTGATAAGCACCACCGGGGATAGGTCCAAGGGATCCGAGGGGACGGGGGGCGGGGGACGTTGTTTATTCCTGGTGTGCCCCGCGAGGCATGCAATGCCTCCAACTTGGTTATGTCCTCTAGCCTCTCGACATGATGTGACACTAAGCTTCTAACTCATACCCGACTGGTTGTTTTGTGTGTGTTTCGTTCCAAACCAAGGCGGACATTAACGTCGATGCTCAGCTCCTCACACTGGGGAATGGATTAGATCAAGGAGACCTTGCGGCAGCAGGGGCGAGCGGGAGCGCGGTGGCGGGAGAGAGCAGCAGCGGGGTCACGTCGGTGGCGATGCAGGACGGGTGCATCTGCTGCACTCTCAAAGACGAACTCTTGCTCGAGGTATCCCTTTTGTGCTGCTTAGAACTTGTGCCCCAGAGGTGGGGGGAAACGGTTTGGCGGCAGAGAGCAGTCCCTTGCACAGGGCCCTAATGCAGCTTTTTCTCTCGGTAAGGGTTCTGTCTATCGCATGCATTCCTCCTGCTTCCTACGCGAGAACTCTCAGCGAAACCCTCCAACAGGATGCTAGCGCACTCTGATGCTGGCGCCCGCGCTTCTCCCTCCCGCGCTACTGTTCCCGGTATTCATCGGGGGGAAAGGTGGGGGCCATGGCCAAAGAGGGCAAGTACGACCACCTCATCATCGAATCAACCGGGATCTCGGACCCGGCGCCAGTGGCAGAGGCTCTCGTCGAGAGCGACTGCAGCACCAACGACACCGGTTACTTTTTCGACGGCGAGGACGACGATGACGATGACGACGAAGAGAGCACCGGGAGCGCGGCCCCTCTCGAAAGAGGTGCACTCGATAGTACACGAAGGACCGTGTTGCCTTGTCACTTATCTGCGTCGCACGCGGTTTATGTAGCCGATTTCTGGAGGGAAAACCTCTGCTCCTCGTTAGTTGTGCCAGGAAACGGCAATCCGCCGCGTGGGTGTGGCGGCACTGCTCCGGAGGGTACGCCAACGAACCCCAACGCTAAACAACTGAAAAACAACCCTTTTGATGCCAAGCAAAGCGATCCTGCTCTTCGCGACGACGCCTCTGCGGCCGCCCCTGGCGCTCGTCGTTCGTCTCGCATCTTGTGTCCTTCGCGCTTCTTTCTTTCCCTCAGGAGAATCGGAGGCAGTGGGCGGGGGGGGAGGAGAAGGTGGGATGTATTCCCTCGACACCCTGGTGACAGTGGTGGACTCGACGTCCTTCCTGGACGAAGTGCGGAAGGCGGACGACCTGGAGGAGAGAGGGCTGGAGTCGGGGGAGGGAGACACGAGAACTATCGCTGACCTGCTGATGTCTCAGGCGAGTGCACCTGCTGCCCCGCCCGTAGAAAGCACTTGCGTTCTTCACTTGCGGATTTGAAAGCGGTGCTACCAGCGTGGTTCCAGCAGGGGATCACCGCGATCTCGCACATGCTTGTAGTAGTCGCAGTTGTACTCCGGCTAGTGAGGTGCGGCAGGGGGAAAGTCATCGTTGCGGAACGTCGGTGACAGATAAGGTATGACACGCCCTGGACTGGTGTTCAAAGCTCGTTTGCTCCACGGCAGAACCAGTGATGGTGTCTAAACGGTGGCATTGGAACCGTCTCATCGAGAGCTTTCCGAACACGCGTCGTTTTTTGTTTTTTACATCCTCTTTGTCGTAGAACAGTCGAGCTTTGAAAATTGGCCCATGGGGTGTGACACCTTGCATGACCAGCGACACACGCACGCGACAGTGCTGTTAGATCGTGCTGTTGTGTTTGTGTCCGCGCCCTCGCAAAAGTCTCACCAGGGTCCTACATGACAGATGCCAAGTATCCGGCGAAGCTTCACTGCAAGTTGCAGGAGACAGTTCTGCGCCCGAGCTGTTCTCTGCACTCACTCAACAGAAGAGATCCTAACCCACGACACCAGCCTCAGCCTGCCCTACCTTGCCAGCTGCGGTCACGCGTGCGGAAAATTCTCGTGCGTTTGCCTGAAGTCACGAAAAAATGCCTCTCAGGACCGATACTCGCTCCATGTCCGCACGTCTGCCCCTTCCTCCTCTCCATAGCAAGGTATTGCTCTCCTTGCAGTAGACCACAAGTTGACTCGTCCTTCCGTGCGCTCCTCGTTTGGCCATCGTGCGCAATCACCTGGCCAAGCTGCTCGCCTCGCTCTGTCTTTCGCTCTGTCCTTTCACGCTGTCGTACCCTGACGCCGCTGTTTCCCGTAGTCGGCTGCCCTCCCACGCGCTCGCTGGTGCGGCAGTTTCGTGCTTCCTGAACCTGACAGTAACAACTGCTGCGCGCATTGGTTTTTCCTCTGGCAGGTGGAGTTCGCGAACGTGATTCTCCTCAACAAGTCCGACCTCGCAACGGAGGAGGACATGGCCGCCCTCGAGGGGCTCGTGCGGCGACTAAACCCGACCGCGCGCGTGGAGCGAACCGTGAGCTCCGCCGTCGGGCTCGCGGAGGTGCTGGGCACCGGGGAGTTCGACTTGGAAGAGGCGTCGAAGGCCGCCGGCTGGTTGCGGGTATGTGCGTTTGCTTGCGGCGCGAGACCCGCTGGCGGGATGCTTGCCGCCCTCCCGGGCCGATTCACGGCCACCACCCCCATCTGCGTCGATTTTCGTTACGTGAAGCTCCTAAATCGGAGAAGTCGGTTGTGTGTGTTGTGCGTGTGTCCCGCGTATTGTTGGTGTTCCGTGCCCCGGAATCGTGTTTTTTTTCTCCTGCGTATGCTATGTGAGATTCCCATTCGACGAGCCTCGACTTCCGCCAACACAGCTGGCCAATGAACACTCACCAGCCTAGACGGGAATGCGAAACGCGGACACGCGACGTAGTCATCGGGCTCCCCGGGGAAGGGGCGAAGTTGGACGACAGGGTTCAGTTCTCTGCATTCGAAATTGGTGCGAAATGATAACACTCCATCACGCCCACGTAGCTTTCCCGCTGCTTTGTCTGCGTTGTTTTCGCCCGTGCTAGTCTCATATTTCCCTGTGGTGAGGTACTCTCTAGCTTCAGCAACTCTGTCTAGAATTCTCTCGGTTGCCGTTGATTGCCGTGTGGATCTATTCCGTGTCTTTGTGTGTGTGTGTGACTTGAACTGGCGGCGACCGCACGCTACCTGGCTGGCCAATGATAGTACGTCAGTCCCGGTGAGGGGGAAAGCAGGGTTGTATATGCTATCTGGCTGACCAATCAAAAGACGCCAGTCAGCGCGGCTAACAACGGAGAACGCTCAGATAACTCATGATACTCAGGCCCGTCAGGCTGTTGTGTTTGCATGTGTGCTTGCATTTTTGTTGTCCTGGATACCTCCTTCTTTCGAGGCGTTCGCCCTCCTGGCGAGGCGTGTATGCTTGGAAGCTTTGAGTGTGTTTGTCCTCCTGCGACCCTCAAAATAACCTTTGGAGCAAGGAACTGTTCCCGAGGCAGTAACACACGCACACAAGTGTCGGTGTGGTTCATGGTCGAACGAGTGCCCACAACTGCTGTCGCGATCAACCCGCTCCTCGCCCCCATCCTCGTCGCTTTTGCTGCGCTCGCTCCCTGCCTTTCTTGCCGGAGGAAAGGGGCTCAGTGACCACGACGAAGATCACCCTCACTCTCACTACGGTATCGAGAGCTTTACCTTTAGGTCGCGAACGCCCTTCCACCCCGAACGCCTCATGGGATTCGTGATGGAGCACCTGCCTTCCGTCCTGCGATCCAAGGTCGGTACTCGCAATAGCGCAGGTGCTAGGCGGGGAGGGAGGTCGCGGAATCAGTTTTTTTTTGTGAATGAGTACGCGATGGCGTAGACGACAAACCTGCAGCCGTGTCCATAGGGCTGAGCCTCGGTCGTCTCCCTCGTGCCTGACCTGCAGGACTAGAAGATATGGTCCAATTGTGGCGTCGTACTGTTGGGCGCGAGCGTGAGGGATCACCTTACCTTCGGCCATGCCTTCGGCGGCCCACCCCGTTAGCGAGCCGCAGCTTGTGTGTTCAGGAGACCCCCGCCGTGCTCCCATGCTCGCGCCCTACTCATACTAAAATCAAGTCAAGAGAGCCGATACGGCTGGGCGTCTGCCGTCTCCGCCTCCCGGTCACGTCATAATGTTTGCCGAGCTTCCCTTGCCTACAACTACCAGATCACCCCCCCTCCACGCATGGTGTATTTTCACGACCATGTCCGGATGCTGTCTGTACCCCTGGCCGATTTAATTATATCGTTCTGCGCTCTCCAGGGGTTCTTGTGGCTCGCCACGCGGAAGGATTCCTTGGGCGTTTGGAACCAAGCGGGGGGCTCGTTCGCGACTGAGTACGGCGGCTTGTGGGACGACTTCCACGACGCGGACGAGCAGGAACGAGAGCGGCAAGGGCAGGGAAGCGGAGAGCACGGTTCCGCTGCGGCAGCGGCGACCGTCGACGACGACGGCGTGGAAGGCGGCGGCGCCAGGCGCAACGAGCTCGTGTTCATCGGTCTCGGTATGGACGAGAAAGTCCTGAGAGGGAAGCTGCAAAGATGCCTGTTGTCAGAGGAGGAGATGGCCCTTGGGTCCCAGGAGTGGGAGAGGCGGTTTTCGGACCCGTTTCCGCCTTGGGAGTAGGCCATGATGCGTCGCTTGGGTTGTTTGCTTGTAGCACAAACCCCGATTGAGCGACCCGCTCAGGGTGTGGGGTTTCGGAGTAGTCAACGAACAGCGAGGGACGGCAATTCGAGGGCTGCTCATGGGTGAGTACCCCAGGACCGTTGTGCTGTAAGACCGCCCGTGAAGATTGGATGGTTGGTGGTAGCAGCATGTGCGGGAGGTTTCAGAATGTAGCGCTGCTGTGCCCACTTCGCTGATGCGTGTTGGAACGAGGATGCCACGCGAGGCTGCCTTTCCCGGCGGAGCAAACGGCACAACCAATGCCATGATTCAATAGTTCCCAACAACCGGATTGCCGTGAGGTAGGTGAGGATAGGCGTTCGCGTAGATCTCCGCTCGCTCGTGGATCCACATGTCGATGGCTCTTGCAATTTGTAGTACACCGGACGCAGCAATGTGTATTCGTTCAGTGATTCATAGCCGTGCATGCCGTAGTTGTTAGACCATTGACCTCGGGGGAAGGAGGGGCGCTTTCGTTTTCTGTCCGGCTTGAATTATGGATGTAACATGCCTTGTCGAAGCCATGGGACAGAAAAGACGATATGATCACAGCGATCGACACCAAGCTAGTACGCGCTAATGTAGACGTAAATTGCCAAGTCGAGGTTTGCCACTGCCCGCTCTTGCTAACTAGGGAATGTCGGAATTCCTTACAGCGGGTATTGAGGGCACCCTGTGGGGTTGTGGTCGACTTGGTTTAGTTGAGTCTGTTTGATTGAGTCCGTTAGAAATAGATCAGTGTTGCCAGCTTTGGATTGTACTGTGTGGCAAGCCGGGACTGGGACTTGTTTTCATGAATGAATGCCTTTGCCATCAGCATCGACTGCGCGAACCGGCCGCCAGTGAAAATAAATCACTCCCAGTGCGGCAACACGGAACTGTGTGCGCATGTGTGATAGTTGTTGCATCGACGCATCGACGCATCGACGGCGCTAACCGGCTGGCCAATGAAAAGACGTCAGTGCCGTCGTGAAAAATCAACGTCCTTGCCCATGTTCGCCCCATTTACTCTGGTTCCAGTCTGCACACTTTGCGGTGTTTGTGTTTGACATAACGGCCCGAGGGTCACACTGGAAGGTCACCCAGGAGGTTTTTTCGGCATTGGTGTTAGAGTTTACCCACATTCCTCCTGTGGCATCTGCCGTACTTTCGTAGTGTTATCGCGAGAACGGGTTTTCCGTCTCTTTCCCTCGTGAACGGGTGAAGTCTAAGAAGATTATCTACTCACGTGTTCGGTAGCCACTTCCACTCCAAGTTGCGTAGATGGGTTACCTTTTCCAGAGAGAGGATCGACCGCATATCTTGCTCTTACAACGTCTTGATCTGTGCCTCGCCCCAGTGGGCGGCGGGGCCCGAATCGCAAGGCGACAGACAGAGTGCTGGAATATTTTCACGTTCTTCTGGAAAACCAGGAGTCCTCGGTTATGCCGGGAATGTATACCCTTCCTCTGATAGAGCCCACAGCGGGCAAACCGTCTGTGTTTTTACGATTCCCTGAACAGAATGGACTACATCGATATCTTCCGCGTGGGTAACAGGGTCTACAAGACAGCAGTTAGGTGGTCATGTTGTTTTTCTAACTACCACATGTTTGCGGGGAAAGAGGACGTGTAGAAGGAAGGTATTGTGAGGGATAAGGTTGCTGATTTAGACGAGGAAGAGAAAAAAAAGTCCCGAGACACAATGACTAATAACCCAGGACTCGCTGTCCACGAGTTACAGCCCCAAACCGTTGTCTTCTATCCTCGAACACCGAACGTGAAGACGGACGTACCAGAGAACATTGCCTGTTCTTCGTCTCCTCCCACAGCCACCATGTGCATACAGAAGCTGCCGGACCTCCCTTTGGGGAGGAGAGGGCTATCCCACTTATTGAGGCGACCGCGTGTGCTCCTGCGTCTGCAAGGACGACGACTGGTCCAATCTCAACAGTTTCGGGAGGGCCTCGCGTGTGTGCCCCGCAAGCCTCACGACGTCTTCGGCTGGGTTTTGGGTTAGCCTTTTCAACGATGTCTTCGGCTGGGTTGGGTTTGCTTTTTTCAATGGCGTATGTATGCCATGTGGCGTACCAACTCAATCAGCAGGTGAACCAGCACCCGTGGCGTGCAGCAGTGAAATATGGTCTGCTGCTGTTGGAGGCTTGTGATGTGTTCATGAATTCCTCCCCAGCCCCCCCTCGTGCCTACATCGATGTCTTTACCATCCGATACCCGGAGACGGAGCCGGAGCCGGAGCCAACAGGCTACCAAGCTGCCAGGGGCGTAAGGAAAAGTGGCTCACGCACTCACACACACAAGACACCAGGATCCGCCCTCAAAGATCAAGCGGCAAGTAAAGCAAAACACTATGCGGGAACTTTCAACCCGTCTGCAGATCTACCTCCTTTACTACCTTGTTGTCTTGCAATCGATAAATCTTGCTATTGCCGCCAACCACTTGGCCTACGAAGCACTTTGCAGGGGGAATTCCGAACGTGAAACAGCCTTCTTCGCCTGAACGTATTCCAAAGACACGGCACCGAAGTTAAGGTGGACGGAAAAGCGGCGAAGGTGGAGGGGGGAGTACCGTGGCATGCGGCGGTGCTGCAGGGAGCTGAGAGGTTCATGACCTCCTGGCACGAGAAGGAAGAAGAGGCCAGCCGACAACGAGCGCTCAAACGAAACCACAAGCCAACAACCAATGGGGCGGGAGGGGGGCAGGAGACGGACGAGACGGCGAGGGAAGAAAGCAAACGAGAAGAGACGGACCGAGTGGCACGATACGTACGTGCCGGATTGAATTTCTTTTAGCCAATCCCCACCCCCCCAACGCTGCACCATTCATTGCACCAACCCCCCAGTAATGATGACGTACCATTACAATGTATCGCTGGTTAGTGGCCATGTTTGCGTGTTTGCTTGTTAGTTAATAGTGGTCTCTCCACCGTGTGCCTGTTTCTGCCTCCTATTTCTTGTTACTTTCGGCCTGGTCCCTTTTTGTCCTCGCTCTTTTTCCTTTTATTTTCATTTTTATATTCTCTTCTTCTTCTTACTGTTTCCTTTTTTTTTCTCTTTTTTCTGTTTTTCTCTCTTTTTTCTCTCTTTTTCTGTGCCAGATGGCCTTGTTTCTGCTTGCGTTGTGAAGTACCAAGATTGAACCAAGGGGGTGTACCTCTTTCTATCCGGCCCATGATGGTGACTCCTAGTCTCAGTTGATACCTGTCGTTGATTTCTATTGACTTGCGGACCCCTCGGGGCCAGTTTATTTGAGTGTACCATTTTAGGATAAGTTAACCTGTGACCACGGGAATCGACCGCGTCGAGTGTTGGATCAGTACGGACATACGAAGGTACTGGGTAGAGAGAGATCGGAACGGTTTTTAATGTGAAGACAACAACAACAACAACAACAACAACAATTCCATACTAACAGAACCCGAAGACGGTTTACCTTCGAGCTGGCTCGTTTTCTATCGGTACGAACTGATTGATTGATTGACCAAGTTCCACCACCGCCAATAGGTTGAGATTTCAGTATGTAGTAGTTCTGGTGAAAGCGATAACGATGATAATTATAATAGGTGAAGTATTTTGGGAGTGACTGACGGAGGTGAAGAAAGGGAAAAGGAAAGAAAAAAGGAGAATGAAGGCGATGATGGAGGAGGAAAACATCGCGTACGTCGGTGGGAGCAACGGGTTTGAGTCAGATGACCTTCCTCAGACCAAACGCGGCAGAACTGGAGAGGACCTGCCAGAAGTAATGGGAATTAATTGTGGTGGCAACACAATGCGTGGACGATGAAGAAAACAACCTAAAACGCACGCGCGCATCCTAAGTAGTAGCAGCCATAGCAAACACGTGCATTTTTCACGCACAAAAAAAAAACATGATCAATTAAGGAATAATAGTTTAACACACACCCACATGTCGGTGATGAAACCTCAACCACACGCACGCCTCTCTCTATCGGCGACCACGTCAGGAGGCAATGATGAGAGAATGTTCTCCCGTGCCCTTTGCACATCTAACGACACGAAATTACACAAAACGGTAAGAAAATGGTGAGACCACTCCGTGTGTCCGCACATACTCCGAAATGTGTCCGCACATATATATGCAAACTCCGTACATATGCGTACCACACTGAAAATACGTTTGTAATCTGAGGGAGATTGCATGCCCTACGACTAACAGGGTGCCACACACAAAACGCCCGACTACCCAACAGTACCCAACACCTTTCTTCTGCACCTTCCCAAAATAGCATATATGAGACACACAAGACAGCTACCAAACTGTTTTGTTGAGCCTGTTACCCGCAGGGGAGATGTCCCTACTTGCTGTCTGGGAACTCGTAGACATACAGGTACTTTCTGACGCTATGAATTCATTGCTAATAATAATCTGTCTCTGACTTTTCTATGATAGATAGAGATGGATTCCGCACGCTGTCAATAGACACTGCGCCGTGTCCCCTGTAAGGTTATATTTTACAATACACGACACAACGGAGGGATTCTCCCCGATATTTTGTCGTTGACCCAGTAGAGAACTACAGGGTATGTGTTGTAAAATGAAAGTTACCTCTTCAAATGTTGTACTTAGCACCAGCTGGCATCACTGGTATAAATCATCAGGGTATAGACTTAAAAAGACTCGAAATAAGTCCAGTACCCAGCCGGTTTCCCTCCACTCACTGAAAAGACTCCACCACATCCCGTTCGACTGTGGGTATTAGCTAGTGGGTATATCTCGAATGGGTAGCCTTTCTGTGTGTTTTTTTATTATTCCTTAATTCGGTGTGTCATACTGTATTAAGAAAAAAAAAATGATCAATGATCCTCCCGACACACGACACACACACACACAACTCATGAAACGGCACGAGTTACGCCGCCGAACCGTTGTCTGCTATCTACCTGCTACCTGCTACAACCCTCGAAAATCGAACACACACATGAACCATATGCATACCAGAGAACATTGCACGTTCTTCATCTCCTCCCACAGCCATCATGTGCATACAGAGCTGCCGGACCTTCCTTTGGGGAGGGGAGGGCTATCCTTCTTATGACGATGACGGCATTTGCTCCTGCGTCTGCAAGGACGACGAC